TGTTAAAGCCTCAAAGGACCAGTGTATCCGAATAACAATCATCGCCGATGATGGAAAACTTAGATCAAAAGGATCCAACCTAACACAATAAGAACGAATATCTGATCCAAACTGATCCACCAAGGACCAACACCGACCGGATTCTGCAAGATCCATCGAAGACACACACCCACACGCTCTCTGGCGACGCTAGATGCACCACTGAGATGGGGGATGGGAAGGACATTATTACCGAAAAAGGCTTTCGCCCCGCTTCATAGATAAACCAAACCGCCAGATCATTCACACAAGAATACAACACTCAAGTCCACACACACACACACACACGAACGAACAGTGCCGAAAAAGGGTTTAGCTGAGGGCACATCTCAACAAGCCCTAGAAAATAAAAGACAACAAGTACTGCAGCAGGAGGGCCGCAAAGGCTAATCTGGCCCGAGAGACAGGAAGGACCTTATTCCATCTTCAAGGAGTTGTTGTCGCCTCGCCTCCCTAAGCAAGGCAGCAATCCAAACCAAATAAAAAACTATAACTAAAAACGGAGCTAGAGTCCTCCCTTTGGCAAAGGTCGAGGTCCACCATGCCTTTGTGGCTCTACATAATTAACTTAAGATAGTTGTGGTCGTCGAGTTCGGCTTTCTCTCCGTTTAGATGGACGACCTTCTCTCCTTAGTGCAACTCAAGCAAAAAATTCGCCGAAAATACTCAAAAAACACCACTCTTATGCTCATTACAATTCAAATAATTAGTAAATCTTCAATTAGTTTAATTGGGGGAAATCATGACCACAGTACAAAGTTGTGTGAACAAATATTGTACGAAACATGGAGGTTGCAAGTCTATGAACCTAACACGTACAACAACACACCTGAACTAAAAGAAGATGAACAAATTATACCTCCCGTAGCAAAGGAAGTCGAAGAATGTTGGGGAAAGTTGCATGAAAAAACAAAGAAAATTCTACGCACACGCAAGATCTATTCATGGAGATGCATAGCAACGAGAGGGAGGAGTGTGTCTACGTACTCTCGTAGAGTGTAAGCGGAAGCGTTTCACAACACGGTTGATGTAGTCAAACTTACTTCGTGCTTCAACCGATCTAATACCGAATGCACGACACCTCCGCGTTCTGCACACGTTCAGCTCGGTGACGTCCTCTGCCTTCTTGATCCAGCAAGACGGCGAGGTAGTAGATGAGTTCCGGCAGCACGACAGCGTGGTGACGATGATGGTGATGTGATCTCCGCAGGGCTTCGCCTAAGCACTACAAAAATATGGCCGAGGTAGTAAACGGTGGACAGGGCGCCGCACACGGCTAAGAAAATGTTGTGTCCTTGTGTGGCGCCCCCTCCCCATGTATAGGTGGGAGGGGAGAGGGAGGCAGCCATGGCGCGCCCCTAGGAGCTGGCCGCTGGCCCTAGGGCTCTTGCCCTCCTGCGCCCCCCTTTCCTTGTATGAACAAGGGGGGAAGGAAAGCGGGGGGAGAGGGAAGGAAGAGGGAGTCCAACTCCACACTTTCCTTTCCTCCTCCCCTTTCCTTTCCCTCCCCATAGGGCTGACACTATAGAGGGCGCACCAGCCCCTTGTGGGCTGGTGTGTTCCCTCACTTGGCCCATAAGGCCCATATCTTTGTCGAGGACGCCCGAAACTCCTTCCGGTGACCCGATAAGTACCCGGTACCCTCTGAAACACTTCCAGTGTCCGAATACCATCGTCCTATATATCAATCTTTACCTCTCGACCATTTCGAGACTCCTCGTCACGTCTGTGATCTCATTCGGGACTGCGAACATCATTCGTTCACCAAATCATATAACTCATATAACACTATATCGTCAACGAACGTTAAGCGTGCGGACCCTACGGGTTCGAGAACTATGTAGACATGACCGAGACACCTCTCCGGTCAATAACCAATAGCAGAACCTAGATGCCCATATTGGCTCCTACATATTCTGCGAAGATCTTTATCTGTCGAGCCGTTATGACAACATATGTAACTCCCTTTGTCCATCGGTGTGTTACTTGCCCGAGATTCGATCGTCGGTATCTTCATACCTAGTTCAATCTCGTTACCGGCAAGTTTCTTTACTTGTTCCGTAATACATCATCTCGTGATTAACTCCTTAGTCGTTTGCTTGGAAGCTTATGATGTGTATTACTAAGTGTTGGGGAACATTGCAGAAAATAAAAAAAATTCTACGCTTCACCAAGATCAATCTATGGAGTCATCTAGCAAAGAGAGAGAGGAGTGCATCTACATACCCTTGTAGATCACGCGCGGAAGTGTTCAAGAGAACAGGGTTGAGGGAGTCGTACTCGTCGTGATCCAAATCACCGAAGATCCTAGCGCCGAACGGACGGCACACGTATGGTTGGGAAGACGTCGCCTCCTTCTTGATCCAGCAAGGGGGAGGGAGAGGTTGATGGAGATCCAACAGCACGACGGCGTGGTGGTGGAAGTAGCGGCGATCTCGGCAGGGCTTCGCCAAGCTCAGCGAGAGGGAGAGGTGTTACGGAGGGAGAGGGAGGCGCCAGGAGCAGGGGTGCGTAGCCCTCCCTCCCCCTCTTTATATAGGGGCCCTGGGGGGTGCCGGCACCTAGAGGTTGAATCTCAAGGGGGGGGGCGGCCAAGCCAAGTGGGGCGCACCCCACCCCTAGGGTTTCCAACCCTAGGCGCAGGGGGAGGCCCAAGGGGGGCGCACCAGCCCACCTGGGGCTGGTTCCCCTCCCACTTCAGCCCATGTGGCCCTCCGGGATAGGTGGCCCCACCCGGTGGACCCCTGGGACCCTTCCGGTGGTCCCGGTACAATACCGGTGACCCCCGAAACTTTCCCGATGGCCGAAACTGGACTTCCTATATACAAATCTTCACCTCCGGACCATTCCGGAATTCCTTGTGACGTGCGGGATATCATCCGGGACTCTGAACAACTTTCGGGTTACCGCATACTAATATCTCTACAACCCTAGCGTCACTGAACCTTAAGTGTGTAGACCCTACGGATTCGGGAGACACACAGACATGACCGAGACAACTCTCCGGTCAATAACCAACATTGGGATCTGGATACCCATGTTGGTTCCCACATGCTCCTCGATGATCTCATCGGATGAACCACGATGTCGAGGATTCAAGTAATCCCGTATACAATTCCCTTTGTCAATCGGTACGGTACTTGCCCGAGATTCGATCGTCGGTATCCCAATACCTCGTTCAATCTCGTTACCGGCAAGTCACTTTACTCGTACCGTAATGCATGATCCCGTGACCAAACACTTGGTCACATTGAGCTCATTATGATGATGCATTACCGAGTGGGCCCAGAGATACTTCTCCGTCATATGGAGTGACAAATCCCAGTCTCGATCCGTGTCAACCCAACAGACACTTTCGGAGATACCTGTAGTATACG